TGTGGGAAGTTAAAGTTCCTCCCCCGTCCCTCCAGGTCTAGGAAGGTGAGCTTCCAAACAGACTAGGATCCCAAAAAGTCAGTACATGCAGACGAAACAAGACTATGAAGAAAAGGAGGCAGTTTGAAGATGCAGAAGTCACTGAAGTGCTTGTTGGGTTGGTTTCTATTGCAGTTGACTGGGAACAACCCTGTGAGGAACTCTCAGGTCAGCTATAGACTGTGCCCAGAATGATCCTTCTGCTGGGTGGAGTTGCTGACATTGCCCCAGACTCTTCTTCCTCATTGGCTGAGGATTGTTTCAGGGCAGAGGAAGTTGGGAGGAAGGGAAGAGTAGGAGAGATTGGGGGTCCTAGTTTCCTCTGGGAAGCTGTATCCTGCTGAGAACACTCTGCCACAACTGCTTCTGAAGTCAGAAGTGGGCCATTTATGTGTTAGGAGGCAGGAAAGGTATCCGCTTCAGAAGATGCATGGTGTTCCTTGAATTACTGTGGGAATTGAGTGGAACATTGTGTACAAAATGTTGGGCCTAGAGCTTGATGCTCAGTTAAGTACTTAATGCATGTTCACTTTATTGTGGCTGCCTTATTGCTCTTATCATCTTCATGGTTTTTCTCATTGTACTTTTGTGAGTGGCAAACAGGTGACAATGTGTGGCTTAGAGGTTTCCAGGAATGACATAATCCACAGCCTGTATGACTTGCATGAACTATGGTCAAGTGTGCCAATAGTGGATTATTATAGAATAGCTGCCCCTTAGGGGGACACTGTTAGCTTTCTTATAATACATAACCTCATGTTAATACTATGGTAATACTATGGAAAGAATAATCTTATACTGTATTATATAGGGACTAAGGACAAGGAACAAAATCATGACATGTTTGACACAGATGAAACTTTTAAATTTTTTCTACCCATAGGTGCTTCTGCAGCTGCAGAACCCTTGGACAGCAAACTCATATTGAATTTCACTTTCTCTTTCTTCCTTTTTTTTTTTTTTAAAGATGCATTAACAAAATTTGAGTAAGGATAAAGTACACTCAGTCAGTTCTCAGGGGTGGAAAGCCAGCTACCATTGCTCTAAAATAGCATATGACAGATAGGACATATCTGCTAGGATAGAAATATTCTGTATCTGTGCCATTCAATATAGTAGCTGCTTAGCTGCTAGCTGAGTGTGGCTATTGGACACTTACCATGGGATTATCTTATCCGAGGGATTGAAATTTAATTTTACTGAAGCCTAGCTAATTTATAGCTAACTGTGAATAGGCAGAATGGAGAACAATCAGATGGTGATCTCAGTGACAGAGGAAAAGGCCCTTTCCTCAGCCCTAAGCCAAAGATGAATTTTGCAGTCAGCCTTGTAAGCCTGTAATCACTGGCCCTAAAGAAGCCCACTGACCCCTCAGTTATCCCTGAGGCCAAGGCATCACTGGCTGACAGAATGCCCTGGCCATAGCATGGGGCATGGAACTCATTTACACAGGTCAGGAAAGGGTGCCAAGATCTCCACTCAGCTTTGGCCCATTGTTTTGTGTGGAGAACTTCATTCTCAGTGGCCTTAAGACTGCAGAAGGAATAAAGGGAAGTTTCCAAAAGGGGTATCCCTTACTCCGGAGATGGCTACTCTGATTCTCACATGGTGGACTATTAACCATCACCCTTCCAGTTCATAATCCACCTCTGCTTTCCTCCCAGCTTCCTGGGTCCTTGGTAACTGGCAATTGACTTTACTTTGCGATTAATCCACAGGTTCCTTAAAACCAGAACAGTGTTGTCTACTTTGAAATATTGCAAAATATTGGTCTGTTTGGAGGTGAAAGGGGTAAAGCCATCCAAAGACAGCACAAACTTCAAACTGGCCTCTGAAGAGGAGCAAAAGGAAGTTGCTCAAAGAGTTGTGGCTTTTTATTTGTTTGGTTTTTGATTTTCAGAGACAGGGTTTCTTTGTGTAGCCTTGGCTGTCCTGGAACTCACTCCATAGTCCAGGCTGCCTCCTGAGTGCTGTGATTAAGGGCGTGCACCACTATTGCCTGGCTTAGGAGGCGGGCTTTGTATCAGTTATTTTTCCTGCCACATTTAGTGGCAGTCCAGAAGTGGGTAAGCCCATAAGCAAAGGGGTTGAGGAAGTAGAGAGTCACAGGGCAGTGAAAGAGGAAAGAGGCCTGGTGAGACAGAAAGATTGCAGAAGCAGGGCCTAGTGCCCTAGAGCCTGTGCCTTACAGGAGTACCTCCAAGCAGAGCACCATGGGATTCTGAATTTGGCGATAACAGTCTGGCAAGGAGTTCAGTTTCCTCCGAATCCCTGTTCTGCCCTCATGGCCACACTGAATCTTCCCGCAGTCTATATTGTGAGGTCATTGTCCAGGGACATGGCCAGGCACTTTTTCTGGGACTGTCATTGTCTTTTTCCTGCAGTTGCTGGTCTGGTCAGAGCTGACAGTATCACGATGCTCCAGAGGGAAACACAGAGGAGGACAGGGACATGTGAAAAACTCAACTGAGCACTGGGATCCAGCTGGGCAAACAACGGACCCGCTTAGGCAGTTAAGAAGATCTTGTCTCCCATTCAATCAGGTTGAGAGCACTGACTACTCTCCTAGAGGATCCTGGTTCAATTCCCAGCACCCACATGACAGCTCACAACTGTCTTAACTCCAGTTCCAGGGCTTTGACATACCCTCACAGACATATATGCAGGCAAACACCAATGAACATAAAATCAAAGTAAATTATTTTTTAAAAAAGATCTTGCCTGACTCGGGAAGCAGATGCAGGCAGATCTCCGAGTTTGAGGCCAAGTTGATTCGCAAAGTTGAGTTCCAGGATAGCAGGGACTAAACAGAGAAACTCTGTCTTGAAAAATCAAAGGGGGAAAAAAATGATCTTGCCTCCTGCAACCGAGGGAGCCTGATTATTACAGACCTCTTTGGTTCCATTGCTGAGAGTGGGAGGCTGTGAGAGTGATCGTAGCAGTGGGTGTGGTCAAACTCAGACTCAAGGGTTTGAGCCAGGGGCGTGGCTAGAGAGGAAAGTGTTTTCAGGAGTTGAGGCAGGGCTGCCTAGTGTTTCCATTTTCGAGGGTTGCCAGCAAGTAAGGGCCACCATTCTTCATCACTGCCTCCTCCATGATGCCTTTCCGTCTGCTTTGTTTCATTTGGTTTAGACACTTTGTTTTGTTGCTCGTTTGTTTTTGGCTTTTTGAGACCGGGTTTCTCTGTATAGCTCTGACCGCCCTGGAATTCATTCTGTGATCAGGCTGGTCTTGACCTCAGAGATTATCCTATCTCTGCCTACCGAAGGCTGGGATTAAAGGTGTGTACCACCACACCAGGCACTTTGGCTGCTTTGTAAGACAAATAAATTCAGTAGTCTTCCCTCAGTTTTATAACTTGGAGAGGTTAGGTGTCTTGGAGATCACATGGGAACCTGGCGCCTTATTCTGATTCTTCAGTACAATGGGCTCATAGTGAATGCCAAATGTGCTCAAGGCCACCAGTTACCATCAACCTGTAACTTAGCTTAGGGCTGCAATTTACCAGCTACAGTGGGAGTTCTCACTGGGGAAAGGTTGGGAACCCAATGACCCTTTCATTGAAATCAATTCTGTCTAACTCTCCTGATTCTAAATAGAAGAAAATGTAGATTTGGGGCAGAACCGAAGGGAAAGGGATTTCCCTTGGCAAATTACTTGCAATTTGTGGGTTGGAGCTGACCCAGCTCCAATTCCCTCTGTCGTTGTGAGCACTGTCTAAAATGTGACTGGCTTATTAAAGAAGTGCTGGAGGGGATCCTCCCAGAGGGACTGAATGAAACAGGAACAGAGCCAAAAGCTCCCCCCCCCTCCGCATCCTCCTGGCGAGGGTTCAGACCAGGAACTGCCTGGAACTTTACCTGCTGTTCTGTGTTCACCCTTGCAATGCTTGTGATCTGTGCCTTTCTTCAGCATTAATGGGAAAGCAAGCATTGCTGGATACTTAGAGAATAAAACTCAGATGGTAAGCAGCATGCAAAAGAATGCATGTTGTTAAGTCACCATCAGAGAATATGAGTGTGTGTGGAGGGGTGCAGAGCAGGATCTTCCCGTTTAAAATACATCTCAGGTGATTCTGAGGCAGGCAGTCAGCATTTGAGAAGCAGTGATGGACTTGGAACAGTCGTGCACCAACTCCACCGTGTGGCTCCTTCACCTCTGGGTTGTAGCTGCTTCTGTTGCTAGTACAAGTCCTCAGAATCCAGTGCTTCTTTCTTCACTAGCAGTAGCTACTACTGGTGCAATCTGAGGGATCATCAGAAGGCTTTCTTAGAGGGGGTCTGGTGGGATAGACCTACAACCCCAGTTACTGGGGGGAGGTAGGGTTGAGACAGGAGGATTGCATGTTTGAACACTGCCTGGGGTATGGGATGAGTTCGAGGCCAGTCTGAGCAATACAGCAAGATCCTGTTGATGTTTTAAAAAGTAGAAAAAGAGCTGAGCATATAGCTCAATGACAGAATGCTTTCCCAGCATTTATGCAACCTTAGGTTCAAATCTAGCACTGACAGAAAGTCTTTGCTGACTGAGAAAGGTCTTTGAGGAGACTGCTGAATCTAGAATTCAAAGGTTCTATCTTCTCCAGTACAGTTTTAAAATCACAGACGGATAATAACACACCCCACATACAGTGAGGGCAGGGGTGTAGTTCGAGCAGGTTAAAATATCTACACAACTAGAGTCTCTGTCTCTGTCTCTCTCTCTCCCAGCCTTCAGAGTCCCGAGCACTCTCCCTCCCTTATTTCTTTGCTCCCAAGGGTTGAACATGAGGCATAGGGACCAAGGGAGAAGTTTTTAGACAGAGCTTCAGATGAGCTGTATTTTCTCTTTTTAAAATCTGCTATGTACAGACTCCTAAAGAAAACCATGGATCTCTGTTTCCCCATCCCCGCTTCCCCAGGTCAGCACTGACATGGGAAGTGGTCCATAGATCTTTGCAATGAAAATGACCCCATAGGAAATGAATCTGAAAATTCCATTTATTAAAACAAATACATGGTTTATGTGGGACAGAGATGTGCACACTACATTCAGGTTCTCCTACTTTAACATTCTAAGCCAGGCATGAAGACTCCCACCTTTAATCCCAGCATTCAAGAGTCAGAGGCAGGTGATCTCGGAGTTCGAGGCCAGCCTGGTCTACAGAACAAGTTTCAGAACCGTCAGGGCTACATAGTGAGACCCTGTCTTGAAGAAAAAAGCAAACAAACAGATAAAATCCAACCCAAAACACAACAGCCGCCCCGCCATGTTCCTGTTCCCTTTTCTTTAAAGGTACTTTCCAGAGATCTTATACAGGAAAAGTATGGAGATCTCTAACAATTGTTGGGCTATGAGTCAGTATTTGACACATAATATCCATCATTTCCAGGAGCAGTGAGGAGCAAGCACTAGGGAAAAAGGAAAGGTATAAAAATCTCCTAAAGCCCACTGGCTTGATTTTCTCAAAATTCATTATGTGGATATAAGCATATGAGGAAAAGTATGACACTTAATTTTTCTTTAAATCCAATGATTTAAATTTTATCTTACTTGCTTTCAAATTGAAAAACATTTTAAATTGGAGTTGGTGTTGAAAATGGTTTAAGTATTTTAATAGACATTGCATTATAAGTATGACATTTAATATCTCATAATTCCATGGCAGATTTTAACTACTATGCATATAGAAATGAGGTTCTTAAATAACTGAGTTGGTTTTCTATTAGTTATCTTAAGATAAAATTATGCTGATGAAAATTATGGTTGACATTCAAAAGAATTAAGCTCCTTGGAGACCCAAGTAAATGAAAACTTTTCCTCTTTAATAAATACAGACATTAATAAGTCAGAACTGATTTTGATTATAGCTCTATACTGAAGGATATGAAATTGTGAAAGAGACAAGATAGTTTCCTGAAACTTCCTTTCAGAAGGGGAATGTATTTCCTGCCTTCTCATTCTGTAGGCATGCTCACAAAATATTCATAAATCCTTTTCATTGTTAGACCTGTACAAGGTGTGTCGTGAAGACTGTGATTACACTTTAATAGCTGCAGAGGTCTAAATTTGCACAGAAGACCAGAATCCTAGTGATGCCCTCTCACCAGCAATGAGTACCCCTAGTTAACACATGAACACATCTTTTTGTTTAAATGTGTGACACTGTCAACTGACTCCACGGTATTCTCAGTTGCACATGATGTAGTTCTGTAAAGACTGATAGCTTTTTTTTCAACCACTAAATCTTCATGAGCATCCCACCAACGATAACAAACACCCAAGATCTGACCAGAAGAGAATTCGTGGAAATTGCATTCATGCATTGATAAATGTTCTGGTATCCTCTTCTTCCCACCTCAGGCATCAGTTTTTATTGGACGTATTTATTCCTTTATCTGAAGACCCATAAAAGAGTTAAGAAAAATATTTACCAAATCTATTTCAAAATGGGTCATTTCATCTTATTCTTCCCACAAAATACCCCTCCTCCAAACACACAACACACTTTTAAAAAATGAGGGAGAGAATGACAAGAAGAGATAGTAAAGTTAACTTGGATTTGGTGGTCTTTTAGGATTTGAAAACAAACAAGATGTACAGGAGACTCTCTTTGACTGGGAAGAATGCAGAAAGCATATAAAGGCTTCCAGGGCCTTCCATTGCTGCTGGAGGCTACAAGTACAATGGAAAAGAAAAGAAAAGAAAGGAAAAGGGGAGGAGAGGGGAAAGGAGAGGAGAGGAGAGGAGAAGGGAGGAGAGGAGAGGAGAGGAGAGCAGAGCAGAGCAGAGCAGAGCAGAGGAGAGGAGAGAAGACTCAGTGTTTTTTGTGGGAAGAGAGAGTGCTGGCCAAAGGAAGCTGCAAATAGGGCAAAGAGGCTCTGACAAACAGAGTAGAGAACAAAGCACTGATTGCTTTGACATTTTGCAGAAGTGAAAAATGAGGACCATGTCAGTGGGAAGAAGGGCCGGCTGTGGGGTTACTCAAAGTGTGCTTGGGGTGTTTTGTCTCTCAAACAGCTGGTATTCTGAGGGTGCACCTTCTTAGAAGCTGGGAGTTTATTCCTTCTGATGTGTGAGTTAAAGAGCCATAGTTTTCTAGTTATCAACATGGAAAATATCCTTTTGCATATGATTTTCATGATTCCTGGAGAGTGATATTGATGATATTCCGACAATGCCTTCCTAAGTCATGGTGGATCCCTGCCCGACATTCAGTGTGGGTTTACTGCACTATCCTGGATCCTGGGTAAACCCAAATGCTGTGGATTGGGGGAATCTGATGTGAGGTGCTTATACCACAGTTCACTAGGAGGTATTTCAGGCATGGCTAAGGCGCTGAAGTGATCTCAATTTTCAAAATACAGAGAACTTTTTCTCCCCTCTCTGGCATATTTTTCTCTCTCACTTTTCTTAGCTTTCCAGTTGAACAACAAAACTTCTGAATGGATGCAACATGGGAACATTTTCATGCAGTATTACTCAAAAACTATCACAAAGATATGAAAGCACCAGTCACAACACATGATTTACATTTACTTGCAGAATCAAAACTATTATATACAAATATTAGGAACAGTGGTAAGAGAACACAGACAACCGGCATTGTGTGTGTGTGTGTGTGTGTGTGTGTGTGTGTGTTTGTGTGTGTTCTTTTTTTATTATTATTCTCGTGGAGACATACCGTGGGGAACATCTTCCTAAACATCACAGCTATTCAATTATCCTTAGAGTTCAGTTTAATACACAAACCCAGCCTTATCTCCACAGTATTCTAATAGGGAGGGGTAGAGAAAGAGAAAGGGAAGGAAAAGAACAAGGCACGAAAGACTAAACATGGATGCCATTAAATAGAACTGTGGCAACATGAGACAGCAGTTTATCAGAGGGCATTTAAAGACAATTCTCATTCCCAGAAGGTCAGTCATATCTCAGCTCAAGACACTGGCTTTATTGTTTATTTTGTTTTTAAATATGAAGCAGAAATGTAAGATCTTAAAGGGATAGCAGAAAAGAAGTGACACCGATTTTGTTTTTTACACATTGCCCTGCTCCAGACAGGTCTGCAGGGTCAGATCTCTAAAGTTGGGATGTGGAATCGGCTTCCATTCTCACAAGGGGACAATTCTTTAGACATGCACAGCCTGGAGTGTCCAGGATGGTTCTCCTTCCTCTCTTTAAATGCTGCAGACCAGAAAGGCGCCCACCTTGATAGAAACTCTACATTAATGTCCCAGGAGCCCCGGGGTCTTCATCTTCCTCTCAGAGACTTAAAGGATAGCGCAGAAGAACTTCTTCTCCCGAAAGGGGTTTTCTGAGGCCGGGACCGGGGTCAGCAGTGGGTCTTCCTTGGCATGTGCCTCACAGTAGGCCATCAAGTCCGCAGCCGCCTTGGACACCTGCAAGGGAAGGCAGAAACTTGAAAGGACAGACAGGCATGGACCCAAACACCCCCGGTGCGGTTGCTCAAGTCTCAGCTTTCTGGTCCACCACGTTTGTGTTCATTCAGTTCAAAGGCCAAAGACTGAAAGTGAAGGGAGACATTCCACCTGCATAAACTTGGCTTCTTGACCGCAGACAAGGGATCAATGGAATTGAGCTGACAGGACTGTTGCCAGGAGGTGAGAATCTAGCGTAAAAGGAGCCTCAAAGGCCAAGGTCACGTAACATCAGGGTTCTGCAGGTGCCAACCCTGTTATTCTACTTCTGTGTCCTACACTTTAGGTGCTGTACCTGGTGGCAAGGATTATACAAGTGAGATAATCCAGAAAAGACATCCAAGACCTCATGTACAGGAAGCTTTTCACAAAGGATTGTTACTATATATCTGTAGATAACATATATATTATAGAATACATATACTCATATATGTGTGTATATACATATCTATAGCTATTCTCCTGCTTTTCGAAATTCTACTAGGAATGCCAAAGCTAGACTGGTACTACCAAGGAGGCATAGTTTCAAGTATACACACACATGGTGATATCATGCAGTACTGAATATATACATTACAGTATCACTGTTTGTGGTCTCCAGTAGAGGTGCTGCCCTGCTTTTGGAGAAGATGGGCTGCACATCCCAGCTCCTTGTGAGAAGTTGCCAGTGGTGCTTTCCTTTGTGATTGTTGCACATTTTTTTGTTACTTGGGGAGGTAAATTTAATTCCACTAAGGTGTCCTATCTGCATGCAAAGCACTCAAATCCCTGGCTAGTTCCAAAGGTGGAAATTAATTCTTCACACATCTTTACCTAACTTGATAATAGCAAAATGAAAGGTAATTGACTGTTCGAGACACAGCTTCCCGAAACAAGAGCAAATGTCAGACTTAGAGTAGGAATCGCAGCAATTTTTTCTTGTCACGACTTTTACTTATTTGAGCAATATTCATTAAACTGGAGCTTAACTGCTAAGTAGCAGAGATTATAAAACAGCAATACTGAAATCACATTTGTTAGGAAGAGATCTGGTACCATCCACACCTACTCACCCACGATGCTCACATACAAACACGTGACATGAAGTTTCTGAAGCAGAAACTTTTGTGAGATTTTATTTTTATGTGTATGAGTGCTGCATGCATGTCTGTGTATCCTGTGTGTACATTGTTCCAAGAGATCAGAAGAGGGCATTTGATCCCCTGGGACTGGAGTTACAAACTGTTGTGAGCTGCCATGTGAATGCTGGGGACCAAACACAAACCCAGGTCTTCTGGAAGAGCAACCAGTGCTATTAGTCACCAAGTCATCTCTCTAGTTCCCAACATGCTTTTTATGACCCAGAAGATACTAGAATGAGAAAAATTAATAGCATGGAGTTGCTCATAGTTTATATTTGAACAAATTATTATAAATGATTTCCTTTTCAAAATGTATTATATTTTGTTTCCTCAACTAGATTGCAGTCCCCTTGGATGATAATCTAACACAACATCAGAATCTTATTAATAACTCAATAATTGCTGATATCTGTGACCTTTGCTATGTGTCAAAAGCGTGTAAACCATGTTATACCAATCTGTAGATTGTATTGTACATAGTCTGTAGAGTAGTACCATGTATCTGTAGAGCAGTACCGTGTATCTGTAGAGCAGTGCCGTGTATCTGTAGAGCAGTACCGTGTATCTGTAGAACAGTGCCGTGTATCTGTAGAGCAGTGCCATGTATCTGTAGAGCAGTACCGTGTATCTGTAGAGCAGTGCCGTGTATCTGTAGAGCAGTACCGTGTATCTGTAGAGCAGTACCATGTAATACCGTGTATCTGTAGAGCAGTACCGCGTATCTGTAGAGCAGTACCGTGTATCTGTAGAGCAGTGCTGTGTATCTGTAGGCCTTTAACATCCTCATGCTTTGTTCTTTCTGGTTTTTCACTCCTGTTTTTCTAGCATTTTTTTGAGGGGGGGTGGACAAAATCTTACTATGCTGCCTTGGCCTTTGCTATGTAGTTCAGGCCGGTGTACAACTTGGGATGCTCCTGTCTCAATCCCTTAGACACCAGGCCTACGGATGTGTTCCGTCATATCCAGCACTGTCCTCACCGTGTGTGAATTCTAGGCCTCACTAAGCAAGTGCGTGGCTTAGGTCTCAGCTCAGAACAGCCAACTGTGAGTGTTCATGTTCCTGATTTAAACTCTGCTTAGACTATCACAGTTTCCCTTACCTTAGTGTAAATTATGCGACAATCTGCCTAGATTTTATGCTCTGGGCTTAAACACTTGGCACGTGAATTATTTTTATATTTATAGGCCCAGTGTTCTATGAAAACTTGTCTCAGCACTTCAGAATAGTTTTTACCTTTTCTGTCCTGTTGATTCATCCTCCAAAAATGTGCTACATTGAGATGCCTTGCTGTCATCTCCATAGAGTAAAGCACCATCTTCTCTGTGACAACTGAAATAGCTGGTTATATAAAAAGTCTGTAATTTGGATTCCCCAATGGGCCTGAGGATAAAATTTAAAGAGTAACCTATGAACTTTGATGATAAAAACTATTCCTTTATTTTTTCTAATGTCAAATGAAAATTTATCATCTCCTTTCTTTATAAACAGGGATGCAAGCATGAGCTGTGCAGGCAAGACAATCAGTTAATGAAATCAGATATTTTCAATCATATTACGGTCATCTTTACATCTCAACATTGTATTTATATTTACCCACTTTATGGTTATAGACATGGCATTAGACTATATAATAAAGGAATATATCTATAACCATATTATATATATATATATGTTTTGAAAATATTTTTCAAGGTATGCTATTATCTAAAATATTTTAGAAAAATATTCTAATACACTGTATTTCAGCATAATTAGTTTCCTTTGTAGTTTAAAAAGCATCACTCTGAGAAGGGGACCATAAACTTCAGCAGACAACTAGTTAGGTCAAGGATACCAAAATGTTTAGGAAGCTGAATGACTGCTTTTGAAGCTGTCACAAATGTTGTCATCATACTCTGGATGTAAAGACAGTTTAAACATTCAGATTGCCTTATGTAACTTCCATTTGAAATCGTCAGTTGTTCCCCACTATACTTCGTAGAAACAAAAACATCATATAGTAGCTTGTGGATCCAGAAAGTTTGGGACTTGGTCCTCTCTAGTTTCATAACTTCCTACTTTCCCCCATTAATTTTGAAAACTCTGTAGTCTTTTCTGCCTCATAGTTTTGTGTATCTGATTCTGAAACATTGTCTTTCTTTACATCCTCTGCAGTCGGCTTTATGTTTTTTTCTGCCAGTAATCAATAGAAACCCAGTTCCTGACAGGGCACTCAGTGATCACCTTGTCCAAACTCACTTTCTTCATCTTTTTCTGTCCAACTGTGAATCTTCTCATTCACGGACACCATGCCCCTACCAGTATGATCATCTTCTGAGCTTGTTTATTCGTATTTTCTAACTCTGAAAGTACTCTTTGGTATGAAGGCAGTAATTCCTGTCTTATGCATTGCTGTATCTTCAGTGCTAACACATAAAAGAGACTCAAGCAATTACTGAAATAATTCTCAGATGTAACCTTAGTCAACAGATATTTCATTCAACTACTAGTCACCATGTGTCTAATGCAGGTTCTACGTGCTACAACCATCAGAGAGCACAATACAGAAAAATGCCTGTTCTCAGAGAGCTCTCAGTAGTCCAGACTTCCACAACGGATGGTGATGGAGTAACAGAGACTGAATTCTCCCACCTCAAATCAACTGGACAAATAAGGAAATATTTTCATGATGGTGCATAGGCAGCATATGACAATATCACCTTCATTCTGTCACCTCGGCTACAGCAAGGAAGAGGGAAGTCCAGAATATGGCAGTCTTCATGAGTTGAAAAAAAGGGTAACAGAGAAGAAAGAGTTACATGGGGAAGAGAAAGTTTCAGAGGCCCAAAGGGCTCCTCTTGACTCTGCTGAGCACTGAGGAGAACCTGTGTGAAGGGCATGTAAGGCTCTTCAAAGAGCAGTAAGGATATCCCTGGAGATGGTACAGGATCTGAGCAGTGTTTGTCTTCACCAGACAGAAGAGAATGCCTCTTCAAACACAAAATTTCGAGTAAGGACTCCAGAAAGGTATATTCTTTCTGTGGTAGAGGCTGAGGGAGGGGGTTCTTTTATCAAAGTATTAAAGTCCAAATAGATTTAAATGTTTCTGAGCAACTTAACTGCACCCCACATTAAAACTCAAAAAATGTAAAGGAATATTAAAAGTTACAGTATGCTTCAAGATCAGATTCACAGTGTCTAATCTCTACAAAATACTGCCAACTGCAAAGAAGCAGCAGGAGAGTTTCACTGTAGTGGTGAGACAGACATATGACTGATAGGATCCATGAAATGGGTAGATAAGGATGGGGCCAATGAAACTATTTAAATATTCTCTATATGATCAAGAACACAGAAAACATGAAAACATGACCAAAAGAGACATGGAGGATGTGCAAGGCATCTTCTGTGGCAAAGAGGATGTGCAGAGTGGAAGCTTGGTTCCCTGCAGGAGAGGAGGCAGACAAGGTTGAGACAAGGTGTTGTCTCACTGTCAGTAAAGGGGGTTAAAATTGTAGAAATCAAAAAATGATGCTGCTCCTTTAAGGAATAGAATAGGACTTGGTGGTTTGGGTATAAATACATGCTTATATATACACATACATACAGACAAAGGAAAAACAGATACGAAGTGTACATGAATGCTTATGTGTTGTGTGTCTATATGTGAGCATGCATGTGCATTTTCTAGCTCCATCCAGGGAGAGGACCTGGGAGCAATTAACATGCTGCATATCTAGATCTTTGTTTTTAAAAGCTGTTCTCAAACGAGTCAGGGCTCATTGGAGGAAAGGATGACTCCAAGGCTGGGCAAGGAAAATGGAAGGAGCACCTGCTTTTGCTCCAAACTAGGCAAGTGC